CAAATAAATATGAATAGAAAATAAATAACACTTACAGAAGTACCACACAATAAAAGTTGTTTTGACTCACGATCTGATGATTTCTTAGCATCCTTAATTATTTTTTGTTCTTTATGTTTAKAATCTATGAATGAATTTGAATAATTAAAAAATAATAAGGCAAATGTATATAACATAATGATAAATAACAATTTTAGATTAAGAGGACGTTATACATAGCATATTTTATACTCAGCAGATCACATGTGAATTGACCACTTATAAAATTAAAGGTAAGATTATTATTCAGGTTATTATTATATTTTAGTTTTGAAGCGAGGTATAAGTATTTTCAGATGTACTGCTACAAATCATTTTCTCTACTTATAACTCGCTTCAAATATGAAATATAATAAAACGCTCATGAGGTTGTTTAAATAATAATCTTACCTTTAAATTGTATCAGAGATCAATTCACTCCTATTTTTAAATTAATGGAGCTAAAAGTAATCTTGTGAGCATAAAATTTGCTATGTTACACACTTGTAAGATGGAGACAACAAAGGGAGGTATAACATCATCTTAACTATTGAAATGATAAAAAAAAAAAAATGTATGAATTAATAAAAAATAGATTATTAACCATTATTTATTGTGAAGTAATATAATAAAAAGCAATTTTAGTCAAGCTTACGAGATTGAAATTAGAAGAATTTTATAGTTTATACATCATATAAATTAAGTTTTGATGATATATCAAAGAATTTTAAACATTGTAAATATTGGTTAAGATAAGTAATTAAAGTGTATAATAATTGAATAAGATATTCTAATCAGGACTATACAAAAATGTATTAGAAAAACTTGCATGAGTAGGTATTCAAATGGAGGTCACTGACCTACCTTTTTATTAATAGTCTATTGATAGTAAGACAAATACTGTAACTTAACTGTTATAAATGATTTGAACTTAATAGTTTGGCTAGCATTCAGTTATGGCTATTGTGAWCAGTGGAATTCAATATTAGTCATAAGAGACAATATCAAATTACATGTTTTAACAGAATTCAATAAATWAYTAAAACCAACTTAAGTAATGATAACTAATAGAATATCACATAAGTATGAGATAAAAACAGTATTATAAATTAAAATTTAAAAATTAAGTAGAATGTTATTGTAAATAAATTCAATTTGAACTTAGAAGATTTTTTCTATGGCCTACATTCATTGACAGTGAATACATATAAGTAAATAGTTGTGAAACTTGATAGTTTGTATGTAAGATTAGTAATAAGGTAAAAAAGTGGGGAAATGAAAGAAGTTCTTGTTATTTTTTATTTTTTCCTTATAAGAAATTTTTTCTTGAAAGATACCTTGTTGCTTTTACTTAACCATTCACAAAGTGAAAGGGATATTTTTAATTGTTTAAACATTAGTTTAAATAATTTAATTTAATTTATTTTAAAATTATTATTTTATTTTGTTATCAGAATTATGTGAAAAAGTGAAGAGTACAATTATTATAAACATATTCTATTTATATTTCATCAATTTATATTTCATTCAATTTTGTATACTTTATAAAATTATTCATGTGTTCAATTTTCAATTAATATTTGCATTTTATGAATGATTGTACAACCCAATAGAGAATGTTAAAATATACATTATTATGTAATTTAAAAAATGTATTTAGGCATTTTTATCCCGGAATATTCATTAACTGGATTTCTAATTTTTGATGATAAGCGTTTTGAGATTACCAATTATACTGGAATTAAATTTCGGTWTTTAWTTCATAAATAATCAAATAATTAAGTTGAGTTGACCAAAAAAATTATTTTAAATATAATTTAGGTACTAACAATTDTAATTACTTATGATTTTATTGTAAATTGTATGCCAAGTRAGTTAATTGAACTTTTATGAATTTTAAAGCTGCATATTAATCATGGAAGTGGTAAGATATTTTCTATAAGAATTATACAAAAAATATTGTCTCCAGATATAAGTATATTATACTTGAATATTAGATGCTACAGATCTTATTTGTTCAATAGATAGCTGGAATAGCAAAATGAGAGGAGTTAGGTAGCAATGTCTTTTAAATAGAGTATAAACAGAAACCATAATTATGACATGTTATTTTCTTAAGAAACAGTATGAACACTTCTTTTTGTAATTTAATAAAATCAAAATTTTTCACAGTAAACATACAGATAAGAAAACAATTAGTTTATTTATACTTAAAAAATAAAACATTAAATCCTATTCATTAGCTTTTGTTTTTTTACATAGAGAAAAACATAATTTAACAGTAAAATTCTTAATAACATTGAAATATTATATTTAAAAATATACATATTAAACATATAAAAATTAAACTTACTAAACTTTAGTTTTAGAGTATCTTATTTTCAAATATTTATTTTTGTATTTTACGTTCTACTGGTAATTTCACAAGGTCKATATAAATTCTGAATTCAATTTTAAGGTGATATTTTATTTTTTTATTTAAATTCTGAATTGATAACTATTTAGGAAATTTAAACTTATAATATCCTTAAAAGAATATTAAGGATAATATTAAGCATAATATTTAAAATGAAAATAACTCCATATCTTACCTTGAGTTTTTTTTGTCAAAAAATCATCTTTTTTAAATTTCACTTTAAATATACTRGATGATCGTGCACTTGTAGTAGATTTTTTTGAAATTTCTTTTTCAGATGGCAGAAYATTAGCAATTACTGGTTTTAATTCAAGTAAACTATTGTCAGAAAGGCTAAAATYAAAAATTAAGTAATATTAATTTAAAAAGAAAATAATAATAAATTTTAGCCTTACGTTGGATTTGTTATCAATTTGGCATCCCATTCATCGTTCATATGTTTAATTCTATGACTGTCTTTGTTAATCCATTCACTTGCTCCTTTACCATCTTTAWAAGATATAAATATTTCATCACCATCGTCCTCTTCAACRAAAGCCGCTGTCCTAAAATAAAGAAAATATTTTACATAATTAATTAATAATCAATTCAATTACTTATTTACTAATATTTTAAACATATTATGTATACATTTTGAATATTAAGATAATAAATTGAGTATTTGATTAAATCACATAATACAACTAAAAYAAAGAATTTAAAAAAATGATTTARGAATTTAATTCAGAACATAGGTGAGTTTTAAAATTTAATGTTTGCTGATGACTTAAGTTAATAAATATTTTTTTTTAATTATTAGTCTTCCAAATTAATTAATAGTTTTTATTATATATATATATGTAATAGTATCATCAAAGGTACCTAGATTTAAGAACCTATATAAGATTTTATTTTAATGCTTATTATGTATTACATAATTTATTATAGCTTAGGCAATATAGTAATTGATAAGTATGAATAAGAATAATGAGGAGATTAAATATTAACAAATTAAAATGTATAGAAAGATTAAGTTAAAACTGATGTACCTACTTGAATACGAGATTTTCATAAAACACATGAGATTGAAAAGAATTGTTAAAATTGTTAATCAAATTAAATTACCATCTTATGCAACACATAATAATATAATATAGAATATTTGTTTACATATAATATGTGACTTATGGACAATATTATATTATCACTTTATAGTTTTGTATGGTTTAAGCATTGTAACTGGATGTACTTAATTAAATGACAATATTTCTGATATCAAAAATAACTTATAAGAGGAGTTGTGATGCAGATCAAATTTCTAATTTTTATAAWGCTCTGATCTTGTTTGAGTCACCTATATTGTACAGATTATATAATTAAATACAAAATATTACAATGACACAATGTTTATTCAATTTAATTTATTTATTAACCGACCAARCGTGTCCAATATTTGATAGAATCCGTCAGTAATTTTCTGATACATCAAGTGTTCAGCATCAACAATTTAAAAAATAAATTATCTGTGTCGTACTTGCKGTTTAAAGTCAGCTACATTGAAAAAAAACCGATCGAATTTCGACAAGTCTGTCTAGCGATGCTTACCATATATTTCCAGGAGATTGGATTAAGAGTTCTGTTCCAATATCGAAGTCCATTTTTGTTTAATTTCTTAGCGGCGTTGGCAGTGAAATATTCGACAGTTCTTGTTGACTGAGACAACAGATGCTATTTGKCCATGTGTGAGGGTGGTTGGTCGTCTCGTCTGACAACAGTGACAAACTGACAACCGTTCGTTGAAGATTTCTGGAAATCGAAATTAAACAATTTCGGCAAAATATTTTACTTCGTTTTTGAAATCATTGTTGGTTGCTATAATATATTTATTATTTTGTCATTATTAATTATGATAATTGTGCCATTATGCCATTATCGTATGATAAAAATAATAATTATACTGAAACTGGAATAGCGATTAATGATCAATAGTAAACAAACATTTAGTGGTGGCGTGGTGGTCGAATGAACATTTGATAATAAGTCGTTAAAAACTTGGAAGGTAAAATAACAGCGTTTGGGACAATACTACAGTAGGACAGCTGGTAGTGATTCGTCGTTTCCATTGTAGACCGTCATTGTTGTCGAATAATTAAATAGAAATAATTAGACAGCACGGTTTAAGATATATATATATATATTATATAGGTTTCTTTAGTTTTTTTTTGCAGTAATGCGTACACTATCGGTAAATTGTTTTCCCCTATTTGAGCATGAACAACATATACTTGAAAGAAACCTTGTGGACAGGTTGCAAAAGTGCCATCCATAAATATATGTTTTGATGATGACAACGATTTTAAACATAGCTGTGAAGCAAAAACTAGAATTCTATTCTTATTATTTTTGTTGTCATAAAGAAGAAATTGTTGTGGATCTTTTCCACCAGTAGTGGCCCATTTTGAATTGTCTACGTTTAATTCATTTATTGATTTTAATTTCGGGTAATTATTACTACGAATTCGTCTTAAAGATCGTTTTAAATTATTTTCAATAGGTATTTTTTTCCTACSTTCTTCAGATAAATTTGTTACATTYTTAGCATAAATTCTAGATGGTAAATTTAAATTTTCCTTAGCGTMTTGTTTCATTTTATAAATGGCTCGTTCCGCTTCCAAAACACCCGGATTAGTTTTGTGATTATGTGACTTAAATTTAATTA